AATATCATCACATAGATTTATAGAGTGCTTGACAACAAGGACCTCTGAGTGGTTTGAGTTTTTTGGTTTTTTGGTGGGTTTTTTTTTGTGGGTTTTTTTTTTGTTTGTTTGTTTTTTTGTTTTTTTGTTTTCTTGTAAGATCTCTAAATGGGAAACAACAAATACTGGAAGTCCACATTATGATCTTGTATTTGTAAGGCAGCATCCTGTCACCAAAACTTGAATTATGACCATCTCCAGCTGAGAAGAATGGCCGAATCTGGCCCACAGTGTGTATCAACAACCACTGTGCTCAATTATAAAAGAGTCTGGAGGACAAAGCACAGAGTGGTTTGGAGGAATGGGATCAGGCAGACCCATTCAGAGAGCTTAGAGTCTGTCCTAAGCAAAGGAGAAATCTTACCGTTGTGTGGACAAAAGAAAACCCAAAAGCCAATGAAAACCAAGCTGGAGATATTCTGGCTGGAAAGCACTGTGTTCAAGCTATGGACACAAAAACCAAGAAGCTGCAATTTGCCACTCTCATTGAGTAATGTCTACATTATTTTTGGGTGTGAAGGGTGAGGATTATTATCTAGTTTGGAATTTCCCCTCCTACCAGTAAAATGCAGATAGCACTCTACATACGCAATGCTCAGGATGAGCTGTGCCTTTTTTGCACGTGATGCAACAGCCTGGGGACAAGGTGCCCAAAGGCCACCATCTGGAACCTCCCTTTCTGTTGCTGGTGTTAAATGCTGGAGAGGCTCCCCTCTGCAGGCCCTCTCTGACACAACTCCTCCTAGGGCATGGGACTGTTGGGAGAGGAAGATACAAACCACATTTTCCTACCATCCCTCCATCTGCACACATGACTGCAGGAGGATTGCTCACAGTCAGTGTGCAGTCAAAACCTAGCAAGGAAGACAGAAGAGATGAATCTAAAGAGATGCAGGGCAGCTTTTTTGGATCATGTGCAATATTTACAGTTTCTTACAAATCACAGAGTTCTGCTGGGGTTTATCCAAGCTGCAGAAGTAATTTCATGAACATCTTTGCCATATGGACTATTTAATATGTTAAGAAACTAATTTGAAAAATTAAGTTTTTCTATCTTAAAGTTTGTACTCAGGTCTGGTACTTCCCACATCAAGGAAGATGCTTCTCACAAGCAGGACCATCAGTAAGCTTCATATGGAAGAGGAGTTACCTAGAACATCTTAGCCTTTTGGTTCAATAATCCCATGAGCATTAGACTAAGTCTAGGTTTTCTGCCATAAACATTCTTATCTGAGATATATGTGCATATTGATACATGAATTATGGTCTAGAGCCTAGAGTGGAAAGGGGGTTTTCCCCACTCTGTGAAAGAAGGTGGATTCCAGGCAAATCTGTTGCACTTGTGTCATACTCCCACTTTTTCTACTGCCATGCATTGAACACAACTTTCGTGTTTCAAAATCAAATTCTTCACATGGAGTGGTGAATAACTGTATATGAGTGTGGATCCTCCTGGATGGGAAAACTAATGAATCCCACATTTTCAGTAAATCAACCCAGATTTTTACTGCACAGTCCTTTAACAGCATCAAGGAAGAATATAAGGCTGTAGAGCTCTGTCTTCAGTTCCGTTTTCTTCATTTGGTTAAAATGACGCTGCCAACATCTCCCTTTTCTTTAAATAAACACAGATAGGCCTTTTTATTAGCAAGTTTCTAGCTGAGGGAAAGGATGGGGGAAGTTAAATTGAGTTTAGAAAATGTTGTTTGCATAATTACTGAGATTATGCAGCTGTTACTATCTGCAGGTGTTAAGTGCTGGGCAAGACTTGTGTCACTTTGAAAATTTTAAAAAGCAAATTTTTAGTAACAACCCTGTGCATTTTGAAGTATTTTAGGTAAGCTTCTCTTTCTGATTCTTTTGGTCCAGTTATGGATTCACATGTTTGTGAAACTGAGTATCACACACCAAAAATACTTCTTGTACTGTGATGCAATGGTCACAGCAGGAGAACAAGAGAGATTAACTTCCTCAGTCTGCCCATGAACAATGCATGACCTTTCTCTACCTCTCCACATTCTTTGTAAAAGAGACTTTTAAACTATCACCTTGAGAAGCTGTGACCTTGTTGGACTTCTTAGCATGGACCACACAAGTGGTGGTCCATCCAAGTCCAGTGGGAGGCTCAGCAGGGCCATCAATTCATGTGTGCATTACAGGTTTGCTATTAGCCTGTGCACTGAAGGAAACAAGCCTCATGTGGTCAAAGGGGTTTCCTGTATGTCCATATTTTTCTCAGCAGCTTCTGAACACTTTGACCAATTTCCTTGGGACCGAGCAGTAGCAGTCTCTGCTGTGCTTCAAAGATACTTCATCAAGAAAGGTGGTAAAAATCAGGAGTTAAATCCTATTAATGAGCCAACAGAGGAATAGCAGGGAGAGTACAGCTGGTTTTTATTTCACCTGGTAGCTTTGCCTTGACTTTTCTCAAGTCTCCTTCACGTCTCTAGCTTTTAAAGACATGTGTGTACTGTGGAAGAAAGTTTCTTTGTGAACCCTGTAATTCACATTTCCAAGCCTCTCTCTCAAAGGCATTTCTCCCATCATTAGTATGTTTCAGCTCTGCTTAGAGCCACCTATTAAAAGATGCTCTCTTGCCTGCCCTGTAAAGGCAGTCTCTGGGCTTCCCTTCTGCCTGGTATTCATAAACCCCTCCTGTAACTCTAAGCTGGATGTTGATGACTGCTGCCATCTAGAACACACTGCTGTTTCTGCCTTCTGCCTTGCTGAACACCCCTCAGCTGGAGTCCTTGGCTCTCCCAGGATGGTCCTCCCTAGGGATGGTCAGAAAGCAAACTGTTTTCACAACCAAAATGTAAATAACTGAAGAGATTTTATGAGTATTTCCATGGAAATTACCAACTTTCAGACAAAATACGCTTTCCTCTGAAAGTTTGGCTGTATCACTGTGTTTCACAACAGCACTGATTCAGGAGCCTCATTTTCCTGCTACTGTTATGGTGTGAGCAGCTAGCTAAGATGATCCATCCCACAAGACAAACCCAGCATCCTACATGAAGAAATCCTTGTACCCTGGCTCTATGCTCATTTTCTATAACCTACCTTTTGACAACAAAAATCTGTATCTTACTGTGAGGAGGTGGCATTTTTCATGAAATAGTATACTTTACCAAAGCACAATCTTTCCATCAAGAACAGCTTATATACAATTTTTGCACAGTTTGCTATCCTAAAACCTCTTCCTGTAGTCATCCTCAGGATGCACAGGAGCCTCAGGCATGTGCTGACAGATTGTTTGCAGCTTAACACATCAACCAGAGGCTGCAGCAAGTCAGCCCATCATCACTTGCTTTAATTGAGTTGGTATCTAGGAAGTGGTTTTTTTTGATGCATCCGTGGCCTTTTTCCATTGTATTTTGATTACACTCTGAGTGAGATTCTTCCACCCAGGTGCCTAAATATGAGTTAGGGGTTAGTGCCGCTGCCAGCCAGGGCCACTTGAGATGTCTTCAGCTGCCACTCCAGAAGGACCTGGGTTTCCCACTGGTCCCACTACCCATGTTGAGAGGCCTGAATCAAGCCCTTGGACTGAGCAGAAGATTTGGATATCTGGTTTACAGCTGGGAGTCCATGTGCACACATCCAACTACATACTGCTGAGCTCTAGAACTGAGGCTCATGCTATGTCTTTAGTCTGCTATTTAGACCCAATCTGCTCATGCCCATGCTTGCAATGCTCTATTTTGGGTGAACCAAACTCTTCCTGGTGCTGTCAGAGGAGCACACACTGCACCAGCATGATGTGCAGACACTGAGTTTCCCCTCTTCACTGACTCCAGGTCTGCGCTGCATTTAATTTACACCTCCGACACTGATAAATTCCTCTCCCAAACATGGTGCTCTCCAGGGTCTTATCCATTCACTGCAGTGTTATTCAGTCACAGCAAAACCCAAGGAATGGAATATGTCTTCTCTAACTCTGCCAGACAAGCATTTTGCATTTCATGAGGGCCAATTTATAATGGCTCTTGGCTGAGCCGAGAGGCGGCAAGTGAGGAAGTCTGATTTCAGGCAGGGTAAGACTCAGATGATGAGGGAGTGCCTTATCACTCTGCAGCCTTAGCAAAATACTCACCCACTGTCTGAGAAAAAGAGCTTTGAAGTGGTTCAGCCAGGCACCTGACTTGTGCTCCTTGCTCCTGGACACAGCTGGTCCCAAATCCAGACAGGCACATGTAGGAGGGGAGTCACCCTGGACCCCAAGAGCACCTGAGGCATAATCTGCTCCTCCTTCTGCCACATTGCAGAGACCCAGCTCTGGCCTACTGCCCTGCTTTGGCTTTTTCTTTTTCATCAGTAACACACAGGCATCTCCTCCTTGAGCCCAAAATTATCTGCCTCCAACATTTTCTGTACCAAACTCTTCCCAATCCTGCCAAAGTTGATGGAAACTCCTCATGAGTTAGAGGGGAGGTCAGAGACCATGTCAGGACCCAGCCCCGTGAGTGAACACATTTATTACAGGGTTTGGGTACTAAATGACCCTTTTGCTTAAAACAATTGTTTTTCTATTGAGGCTTCATGAACAATGAAAACAGCAGCAATGGTTGAGCCCACCCATGACATGTTTTCCTATTTCATCTTCCACACAGAGTCATCTTCACTGCTGTTTCATAATGCTGGAAATCAAGTTTACTGTCAGGACATGCCAAGCAGATGAAGAACTATCTGGAGATGAGACTTAAGCAGCCCCATATGGAGAATTATTGAACTAACAGGAAATCACCGGTGAGGTTCCTCAAGGAAATCACGTTTGGAGCAACCTCAGGGAGTGCCTTAGCAATAGCTTTCACTCTGAATACAGACACTTGCTTTCAGACATCACTGACAGCTCAAACTTTTCCATCATGGGCTCTTTAAAGAAATGAAAAATGCTTGGTAAAGCAAATTTATAGGGCACAAGTGGGGCTCACAAAGCACAACCGTCCGCTTCTACTCACCCCGCTCACAAGGAGGAGGAACATTAAATGCCCAGATCCCATGCGGGCCTGCTAGGAGGTCCAGTACTGTGCAGCCAGCCCAACAAGCAGAGACCCAGAGAGCCCGGGTTGTTTATCCTGCAGAGGAGAGACAGAGAGGGATGAAATTGCTTTCCTAGAAATGCCTGCTGGGGGGCAGAGGAGCTCCTCACCTCAAAAGACAATGCTGGCACACGTTTAAAGGATTATGAATAATCCAGTTTGGAAATTCAGATGAGAGGAGGGATACAGCATCAGATTTTGAGTAGGACAATGGGGAAAAGAGTCTAAACTTCTTCCTAACTGGAGTCTGCTGTTCTTACGAAAGCACAAGTGTGTCAGTGGGGTGAGCAGACAAGGGACTTAAGGCTGGCAGGAAAATATAGGATTTTGAAATGGAAAAAAAAATGAACACATTTTCAGGTGGAGAAGCACTTCTTCCAGGGATTCTGTGCACTGCACACAGGGGCGCTGGGATAAGCAGTGTGTAGCACACAGTTTTGCCCTTTGCTGCTCTGTGCTGCATGCCCCTATCAGTGTCAGCATGCTCCAGGCTAATGATGTCCCAGCAGTAAGATGATTGCTTTTCTCTTGATGCATGCCTTCTCTCCTGTTTTAAAATGCGAAATCACTGGTGATGAGATTTGCAACTATACCACTGTGGACATTTCTAATGTCCCACGTTGAACGTGCCCATTATCCCATTTACAGCCCCATCATTAGGCCAGCAAGATCTCAGCTTTCCTGGTCTCCTGTGTGCAGTGCAGCATTTCTGCTCGTCTGTCACTCGGGTGTCTGAGCTTCCTTATCCTTGTATCTGCATATCTCTGCAGTGATACTTTGCTTGCGTGCCAGGAACAGCTCTGTCATACTGCATGAAAAAAAAAGCCCTCCTAGAGCCTCTCTCCTGAAGAGTACTGAAGAGTATCCCTAAAAATCTTTAAAAGAAAATAAGAATGTAAGTTGCTTCTACTGTAAAATTCCTAGTTTCAAATTGCTCATGGCTAATTTACATACTGAGGGAAAGATAGTCCTGCTCTTCCAATATTGAATATTAATTTTGTATCTATATAACATCCTAAGGACCTACATCTTGAATAAATAAAGCGTGGGTAGGGCTAGTCATGATTTAATACCACAAAATTATGTCATGATTAAATCACTAAATTGTTAGTCATGATTAAATCCTACTAAACCCTGCAGTGCAGGAACATTAGTGAGAGCAGCTAAAGCTTTCCTCCTCCACCCTCAGAGGTTCCCATCCACCCTGCCTTGCCCACCTTAAAGCTGTGTGCCAGGTATGGCAGTGCCGGGCCAGGGGCTTGCTGCAGGCACAGCTCTCCTCCAGGTTTACAGAGAATTTCCATCCCATGCCATCTTTATAAGAATAAACTGCTCTCACTCTCATTCCCGAGTGGAAATGTTCCTCTGAGGCAGTGTATTTCATTTTTAAGTAATAGCCTGCAGTGGCTTTTTCCAGAGGCCCTTTACTGCCTGGGAGTGTTTTTATTTGGTGGGTGAACAGTGACATCTGCTGGGAAAAATCCCTGAGAGCTGGACTGTATTCTCGGGGCGTCCAGCATCCCTGCACATCTCCATCCCCTGTACCTCCTGCATCCCTCCCCTCCTTCCCTCTGCCAGCAGGGGCAGACAGGGCTTTTCCACTGCCCACAGGGCTCATTACCATTCATTCCAGATAGGAACAATTAAGCCTATACAACAATTACCTGTGTGACTGTACTAAGGAGCAGTCGATAAAATTCACCAGGATTGAATCTATTTTCTTATTGCTTTTTCAAGTGCTGTAGGTTGCACTTGAATGTGTGCAATGGGGCATGGGGTCATGGCACACAGTGGCTGAGTGGCAGGAGCTTCTGTCCACAAGTCTCACTGTGCCCTGTGGTCCTTCATGTCTCTGCCACCTGTGCTACTCTGACTCCCCCACTGCCTCCCCTTTTATTATATTTACAACAGGACTTATCTAAAAGTGAAATTCCATGGCAGAATTGCCAGCAAAAACTGACAGTGAGGACTGAGTTACTCCAGGCATTGGGGTGTCTTTTCAGCCAGAGTGCAGCACATCTCTGATGTCCTATAAAAATGGCACAATATTACATTTTGCCTCCCATTAAAAAAAAAAAAAAAAAAAAAATTACATTAGGAAAAATACAATCCAACACTCTGAGTGAAGCACTGGGTCTGCCATGCAGCAAGCTGTGCACTTTCCCAGCTTTTTTGAGGCATTAGAAATATACTTCTCAAAAACATTAAGACATTAAAATGCATAAAAGCAGTATTCAGATGCCTTCATTAGGGTCAGCAGCCCTCTGACTGTAAGGTGGTGGTTAGGTGATTTTGCAATAGCTCTATTTTCTAGTTTCCCCTTTAATTTCCCAAGTGCCCAAGGAAAGAGGTATGTGGCTACAAGCCCATCCAGAATGATGCTCTATCTCCATGCTGGTGTCCAGCTCCTTCCCGTGCTTGCCATAGGGTGTTACTTGTGAGGCTCTGGCCTTGGAGAGGATACAGGCAAAGCACAAATTTTAAGCAGGAGTTTTCTGAGGAAGGTAGCTCTGAATGACTGCCCACTGCAGCCCAAATGCCTTCTGATTTGAAGATATCATACACAACCTAGACTCTTGCTTTGTTTATCACGCTTTGTTTATCACAACCTGACCTATTGAAAGACACGGAGATGTCTCAAGAAAGGTGAAAAATATCCTCAGAGAAGCTACTGAGAAACATCTGCAGTGAGGAAAACACCACAAGGTGGGGTGAAGTGTTCAGAACCAGGAGGAAACAGATGAAAAGCAAGTGGAGAATTTGAGAGACTCTCTCCCCAGATTTGGGAGAGACAGAAAGATGAAGGGGAGAGACACTGGGGAAAAGACATTGTGAAGGAAAGAAATACTGAAACAGGGGCCAGTCTTAAAGCTTTTTTTTTTCTATTTTCTAACATGGCTGGGGGGTTTTTACATGAAATTACACATGAAACTATAATTTTTAAGCTAGGGAAAAATAATAAACACATCTGATTTTCTGTTTTTGATCTGAAGAAGGAAAAAACATTATTTTTAAAAGTAAAATCTTGCAAAAGATTCTTTGGAAAAAGAAACCTTCATTTCCATATTACTGCTCTGTGACTCTTCCCACATAGCTGAGCATTTTCATATGAATCACCAGTTTACTCAGAAGAGTCAACACTCAGCTCACAGCACTGAGAAGGAAAGCTGGGACAGCCAGAGCCACAGCCTTGCTTGATTTAGACCACAGAGCTGAGATGACACAGCGGGTGTCAGGAAGCCCTTTCAGACTCATGCACTGATACAGGGGGAGATCTGATGGGGACCCACAAACAAAAGACAACTGAACAAAGCACTTAATACAGCACCAGAAAATACATGTTTCTGCACAGGCAGGACTAACTTCTCTTGCTGTTAAGCAATCACCATGCATCTGCTAGGCAAAAGCTGGAGTTTAAAGCAGGCAGAATGATTGCTAAACCAACCTGCACCAAGAAGGAGGCTGAGTAACTGAGCCCCAAAGAGCTGCACATATATGCATGTGTTTGGGTGTGCATTCAAATTTAGCATATTGGCAACAGCACTTCTGCAAAGCAGTCAAAATCTTGAAGTTAGCACCAAAAGAGTGAGGTTCAAAAAATAGGCTGAGGAGTCTTTCTTCTCTTTATGCCAATACAGTTTATACCTTCTTCATGTTTCCAAGCTTTTCCCATCAAGCTAGACAGGGTCAACTCTCTTTATTATATTGAAACAAGAGGAGTTCTGCTGTTTCCTTTGACTGTATCAAATTTATAAAGACTGAGAAATGTAAGCTGGTGACCAGAGAGTAAGAAATGGCAGGCCTTTACTCCTTAATGCACATAAGTTACTTAAGTAACTTCAGCAAAGGACCAGAGAGACACAAAAGCAATAAACAGCCTCCTCTGATCAGAGACAAGAGGAAAACCCAAAGCAACATCATGAGGAAAGTGAAGTTGAAGGGTAAAGTGCTGCACCTCTGAAATATGGTGTGAAACAGGGATTAAATGTCTCTCCACTCTTCTGTCTTAATTAGCAGCTCCTGCTGAGGACACCCTGACCAGCCTTTCCAGGCTATGTTGTGAAAGAAAAAAACCTCTAAGGACTTATGTGAGGCAGCTGTGCTATCTGCAGAATCCCAATTACATCTAACTTCCAGTACTGCTTCAGTATGTTTGAAGTCCAGAAAGTAGGACTAGAAGTAAAATGTGCTGGGGTTGTAACAGACTTGCTCTCTACTCAAAATTTCAGAGTTACCCTACTGCTAACACGCACTCAGGAGACTGCCTGGTTGAAATGAGGCTCAAAACTTGTTTTAAATTTGTCAGCGCTATCTGCATTGACTCCAGGTCTCCTTAGTTCACTGCACTAGGAATACCTTGTCCCTTGAGTATTGTCCCTAATAGTGGCCTAGACGTGAGTCCTGCCATGGCACCTTCATTGCTCCCAAGGCATTGCATTCTCCCAGATTGCCAAAATAAACAATGTAAAAAAACCCTTGAAAATAGAGAGGGAAAAAAAAAAAACCCCAAAAGCTTCCCAGCAAACTCAGCTATCACAGGCAGAGCATAGGCATGGTGCTTCTGCAATCTACCTCAGCACTGCCTCTTGGTGTCCTGCACTCGGCACTGCATTGTTTAAATACAGCCATGTAATCCTTCCCACGAGGAGAAGTTAGGAAATGAGATGAACTCTTACAGTGCCTTACTCCTACTGCAACAACTGCTGTAAGGAATGGTAAGCCTGCCTGAGAGACTGGAAAAAGTGAAACAAGGTAAGTAAGGGTAAGGCATAAAGTCAAGCCTGGCTTTTGCACTAACAAATTCACTTTCTCCCTCTCCTCTCTTCTGCAGCTTCCCTTCATAAGGAAATACAAAGGTCTGACTGGGCCAGCTTTCTTCTCTTCTTCAAAGTTCTTCTGCTTTCATCATCCAAGATTCTTTTTATTTCCCTTAAACTATAGCAACTTCAAAGAAGACTAAACATTTTTTATAAAAACAACCAACAAAAGGCTGACTCCTGTTTTCCTTAGGCCAGGAGGATGGCATGGTTTCACCAGAGGACCAGGAAGAAGCAAAACCATGGAGCAGTCCTCTCTGATCATGTTTCTGCATCGTGTTTCAGCTGCCTCCAAACAGTTCAACTGGTGGGTTCAACTTCCAGTGCTCGTGAGCAGATGGTGCTTAGGTGGAGAAACATTCCTGTTGTAACAGCCTATAGGCTTTTCAACAGCTTTCATGCTGTGTGATGCAGCGTGGCACAGAGCTGCACAGGGAAAACCACTACCAAGCTAAAGGCAAGAGCATATGTGTAAGTGTGAGTTGTGGCTATCTGTGTGCAATGGAACAACATGGGCTGTTAGCTTCTCTCTTCCTCCTCTCCCACTCAGGTGTCCGAGCACAGCCACATATGCTGTGTGTTCTCATGGCTTTCCAGCTCTGGAGGTATCATACCTGGATATAATTAATACATATCCTTACCACAGCTGGGAAAGGAGTGAGAAACAACCAGCAAACATTCCTTAAGAATATTGTTATTTTTATTCACACTTAAGTAATGAAATATAAACTCACAATAACTAGAAATGTACACATTAAGAGCTTGCCACTTGTTAGCTGTCAGTGATTACTTCAAAAAAAAAACCATGAAAAAATCAAAATGCTGGAAGATCACACTTCAAGTGCACTTTCAAGGGGTTAGAGATGGAAAATTCAGTCTATTCGTTATATCATGCTTTTTGGTAATTAAGCCAACTACTTCACTTTCAGTAAAGCAATTCCTGTTTCTTTGACTACAACTGATTCTAGTTTAAACCCTTTTTAAAATTTTTAACCATGCACTGACAGTAGAAAAATAAATTCCATCTTTGAGTAAAATGTAACAAAAATATGTCACTGTCATTCCCTTTTTCACCCTGGAGTTCCATAAGTGGAGTTACCTTGATACATCTATTCCTGTTTGGATATAACTCATTGCAAGGTGCATGACTTCTTATCAGTTTTGCAATTAATGCAACTAATATGACTCTTTTAACAACAGTGTGGGTGTTTTTACCATGTCTTTCAAGAAACATTATTTTTTATTAATCACAAAAGAAGTTATTGTCCCTTTAAAAACTAAGAAAAACTTTAAAGATATTTTTAAAATATATTGGCATTACAATACTTAGAGCCTGAGCTTTTCTTGAGGAAGTATTTTTGACACCAGGCTCCAAGTCAACCAATTAACCTGACACTATGTTCAGGTATTTCTGCCTGGTGTAAACATTAAAACTTCTTTGCTAAGATATTCAACATGTTTTAAAAACATATATTGATCCTTTTTTAGACAATCCAGAGGAACAAGTGTATCACTTAAGCAGCAAAGAATACCAGGACGTTCAGCGATGTT